GTAGCAATGCTAGCAGTTGCCAGGATGACTGTGGCTGAGACTATAAATGCTATAGGTGTGCCTATGAATCTTTGCACGTTCCAATGTGGTAAGGGCAGAGGCACCTTGCCAATTACATGTTAAATTGACTGGTAGGAATGCCTCAGATTGTCTCCTTAATACCATGATACTAGTAATATTTAGATATATTAATTGGTGATACATGAGGTGAACCAAGCCTGTCCATGCACCTGGGTCACAAACGTGGAGTTTTGGGGTGTAATGGAAATATTAGTTCCCATATGGAAAACATATGGATGGGTAGTGCAAATCAGGCACTATCAGTGTGATTATGAATAAAGGTTATAGCATAATTCTTACTGGAATTATGTCCCATGCCAGGTGTTAAGGGAGGTACAAAGATGCCCCAGGCACCATAAGGTGTCCTGGGGTGGCATGGACTTTACTTGGGGTCTGGGATATCCCATCCCCCATTGGCCCACATCATAGGGGAACGGGCTGTGGCTACAAAACTGTGATTGACGCCATGACGGATGAAGACACCAGTAAGGTCACTCTATAAATGACCGTGGGGGCTCCAGTCTAAGATGTTATAATTGCCCAATTGGAGGCTACGGGCTTTTTCCCCATGACAGACCTCCCAGCTAAAGGGAAATTCATTACTTTCCTGGCTTTGTCCTTTAGCACAGGAAGGAATGTCTGGGAAAATGGCATTGACTACATTACTCAATTTGAGGCTACCTGCGGCTACGACTGGTAAGGCATTTCCTTTGCCATGATGTAGCCATAATAGTGTTTGAGCAGATACACAGTAAGGGTTAAAACTTTCATAACTTACACACAGTGGGAGGATAATAGAGTGATATGTAGTGTTACCTCGCACCGGTAAATCTATCCCTCCTAGCCAAGCAGTTACATTATTAAAGGTCGGGAAGGAGGTGTCTGCCCAGGTGACAGGTTGAAAGAAAGGCAGATCTAAGATAGAAGCCCAATTGAGTATAGCAGGTACAGATTGCAGACAAAGCGAGAGCATAAAAAGGATCAATACCCTATGTGAGTTGCAATGTACAACAGAGCATAGCAAGGAACAAATTATCTGGAGTGAATGGTATCTGTCTGGAGCAGGATTCACTCAGCCTCCCGTATTGTCCTTTTCAGTATCCCCCAGGTAATGTCTGGGGCATGTGTGGTTGGAGGAAGCCGCATCATCTAGGGTTGTGGGTCCTGCAGAGTCGTCATCTGAATCTCTGGTATCGGGTTGGGTCCTGACCACACCATGGTATGGTTTGATGTATTGTGCTGGAATCCAGTGAGGACCTGAGGGGGTGTGAACACAGGCATATCCTCTCCCCCATGTTAGCGGTTCATTTGGACCACATCATTCATTACTTTTACACCTTTCCATAAAACTGCAGGTTTTAGGTTTTGGGAGGTTTTAGCGAAGTGCTTTTCCATAGCTGATTGATCCATCGTCTAAATTTAAGAAACTAAGGGTAAATAAGGCTTGTACTGGTAGTATTGCAGGGTCCTTACCCATAAACCCCCTTTTGTTTTTGAGCATATTTTTAAGGATGGAGTCAGCACGTTCTACTATGGCCTGTCCTTTGGGGTTATATGAGATGCCTGTGGAATGTTAGATGTTCCATGTATGACAAAATTGTTGAAACTGTGAGCTGGCATAAGCTAGATCATTATCAGCTTTAATTTTTGTGGGCCACCCTATACATGCAAAAGTTAAAAGAATATGTTTAACAACATATCGAGCAGATTCTTAAGGAAAAGTGTGTGCACTAATTAGGTAAGAATTGGTATCAACAGAGACACATACATATCTTAGTTTACCAAATTCAGGGACTTGTGTAACATCTGTTTGCCGTAACTGATACCCTCTAGGGTTAACACCTGTTGGAGGGGAAGTGCCCATGAGCTGGCAATCTGGGCATTGTAGGATAATTTTTTTAGCTAGCTTTTGGGTAAGTTGAAATTGTGTAGCTAAGTTCCTCCAATTTTGGTGGAAAAATTGATGCAACTGGGTGGCTTGGGCAGTGATGTCATAACTTAAAGATCTGCTTGTTCATTGCCATAAGCTAATGGGCCAGGCAGGGAGCTGTGAACTTGAATATGTATGAGATAAACATAGGATGTTTGCATTGATCCAGCAATTACTGAAGCTAAAGAAATAGTGCAACTAGGGTGGGCTCAACTGAGTTCTTTATCAGAGCTGTCTCAGGGTTCTATAATAAAAATAAAGAGTTAAAAAAAAAAAAAATAGAGTAAGCAGAGTCACTGACTCTATTGATGGGCTAGGTGGAAAGTTTCCAGGGCTAGTGTAAGTGCTCCAGCCTCAGCTCTCTGAGTGCCAGTACTGATCAAGTGAGAAAATTATGTGGTTGCTACCAGACAGCCACTTCTCTGTTTGCCTAATGCTTTAACACTGCTTTCTTTGTGTAAAAATAGTTCACTCCCCCATGCCTAATGCTGTAACACTGTTTACACATAAACAGTGTTAAAGTAACACTATTTACTTTAACACTTTATGCTTTAACACTGTTTACACATAAAGTAAACAGTGTTAAAGCATTAGGCATGGGGGAGTGAACTATTTTTGTAAGTAAGATCACAGAAGTACAAGATAAGAACTGAAGGGGCTTATTAGCAGGAAGGACATAATTTGTCCAGTGTAATCAGAGTGAGCTATTTGCAGATCGTTAGATACTGGCAATACTGCTTTAAACTACCTTTTACTTAAAGGAATCCTGATGATATCAGGATCATAACCTAGCAAGTGACTGCATCCTTTGTGGCCTGAAAAGATGACTTTACCAAGTAATTGAATATAGACAGACGGTGTTTTAGTTTTAGTCTGGGTATGTAAGCAAAATCCTACTTAGAAAGCGTAGCCTAGAGGCCATCTGTCCTATTAACCCTTTTAGGGGAGTGTTCAAAACAATTGAGTAGCCTGGATCAATGCGATCTAGTTGCCTTTGAGAGATAGATTGTTCTATTTCCTCCATTTCCCTTTTTGCTGCAGGGGTTAAATATCTGGGAAAATCTAGGGCTTTACTGCCCTTTAAGATAAAAAACAGGTTTTGTAGTTTATCTGTAGATATACCTAAAGTGGGGTGGAGCCAGTTTATATCACCCAGCAATTTCTGAATAATCATTTAAGGTGTGTAAATTGTAGTATTTAACCTTTTGACTGGGAAGTTAGTACATATCCAAGATGTTTCCAAGGAAAGGACATTTGTACTTTTTCAGGTGCAATGATTAAACCTCTTAGCTGTGTATTCTTGACGACAAGAATATAAATTTAAAAGTGCTGGCCCCACTGGGCTGCCAGTAGTATATCGTCCATAAAATGAATAATTTTGCAATCAGGAAATTCTTTTCTACTGGGGAGCAAAGCCTGAGTTACATGAAACTGACAAATGGTAGAACTATTTAGCATTACTTGAGGAAACACTTTCCAATGAAATCAACAAGCTGGCCTTTCATTATTAATAGGGGGTATTGTAAATGCAAATTTTTCTCTGTCCTGTTCTGCAAGTGGAATCATATAAAAGCAGTCTTTTAAGTCAATAACAATTATAGGCCAATCTTGAGGAATCACTGAGGGAGAAGGGAACCCCTGCTGAAGAGGTTCCATAGGCTATAGATTAGCATGGCTAGATATATAATACCCAAAAGCTATTCATTAGCAATAACCAAATGTAAAGAAAATAGGAGAAAGGTTTCAGTGGAATAGCAAAACTACGTAAGACCTTTATGGGGAAAAGCAATAAACCTTTACCAAGGCCTGTGCCAGGAGATGCCCTATGAAGGGGCTTGCTTCAGCTATTTAATTGGTGACAATTCCTCCTTCATCTGGAAATTCATAGGCTTGATAAACTATCACTAGTGTTTCTAGAAGATGGTAACATGTGGCCCTAGTCATTTCATCCTACAGAGATAGTTTATTACAAGTTACAACAAAAGAAAATGTAAAAAACAAAATGTTCTGTAAAACATTGTTTTATTATGAGAAATTATACAGTGCTCTTTTTAATATTTTCATGACACAAGAGGAAACCTATTTCTCAATAAGGATCAAAGAAGAAAAGCTGGACTTGCTGTTGCCTCTAGTCCATTATCTCAAAACATGAGTGGGCTGCTTGCCTCTCTATGACAGAAAGGAGGATGTATGTGCCACTCCAACTTTTTAATCAAATGAAGGAAGCCATATGAGCAAAGGGTTGAGGAACCATGATGCTATTATTTAACATTATCTAGTATTATTTAATATTATCTATTATTCAGTGAGCCATGACTGTGCCATTGCAATCGAGCCTGGGTGACAGAGCAAGCTGCTGTCTCAAAAAAAAAAAAAAAAAAAAGATATATCCCTAATACATTTATAACCCATAAATTCAATTTAATCTCAATTAAAATTTCCAATGGCTCTTTCATGAAGTTAACAAGAACAGGGCCTTTCCCTACTAGATATCCAGTCTTAGAACAGACAAAGCAATGGAACTGTTGTGGGGCATTTTGAAGGGAGAAAACAAAGGACGAAAGATGGCCTTTAAGCTGGGAAAAATGGAAGTAAGGTTATACACACAATGGAATATTACTCAGCTTTTTAAAAAGTTCTGACACAGGCTACAACATAAGGTGGATGAATCTTGAGAACATTATGTGAAGTAAAATAAGCCAGTCATGAAAGGACAAATATTTATAATTCCACTTATGAGGTACCTTGAGTCATCAAATTCATAGAGACAAAATACATTGGTGGTTGTCAGGGGATGGGAGAATCAGGAGTTATTGTTTACTGGGTACAGAGTTTCCGTGTGTGATGATCAAAAAAGTTCTGTAGATAAATAGTGGTGATGTTTGTACAACAATGTGAATATACTTAATGCCAGTGAACTGTATGCTAAAAAAGGGTTAAGACAGTAAAGTTTATGTAATATGTATTTTATCACAATTTAAAAATTTTAAAAATATAGGAAAACATTAACTGAAGTTAAGGCAACATTTATTTAATTTCCTTATAATCATATTATCTAAGGCAGAAGTAGTGGTTACTTGGCAAGAATACACTTTCTTTTAATGTCTTCTATAGTTGAATTTTAGTTCAGAAATACATATTTCACTAGTACAAATCTGAGAGAACGTACTTGTAGCGTGGGCTCTTATTCAAGATAAATGCATTTTTGTGTCACCATGGCGTGAAACTTGATCACTGTTTCAATGGCAGGGCATGGCCAGTTGTGGCAGCTGCTCTGAAGGTCACCTGTTTTTCTGTGGCCTGGCCAAGTAGAGTAACAGTGGGTCAGAGTGAGCTCACTGGTCTCTTTAGGCTGTGTTCTGAATGATGACAGCGATACCTTGGCCACCTCCAATGCAAGCTGATCCAATGGCATACTTTCCACCTCGACGCCTGAGAAAGAAAGCAGTGACTAAAATCTATTCTAATAAAAAATTAATTAACTAAATAGAACTAATAACAATCACATTTTCACTATTCATTCTTTCTTTCACTATTCACCTCATCTGCTCAATCTTTTCCCCAGTCCTCAATATTGGTTTATAATTACAACATGGAAAGCTGAAAGTTTATCATTCAAAAATAGAAAACAGAAGAGAGAGGCACTCTAAAAAGGAGATGAATGGATTTAGGTTTAGATGACCTGAAACACATATACAAGCTTGCATATGTTATGGGAAAGGAGTGAGAAGAGGAGGTAAATTGATAAACAGAAGCAGCTGGGAAAGAAGATGAACATTCAGCTCCTTTGATTTATATGGTGTGACAGCCTCACGGCACCTTAGAAGATATGTAATTAATAAAGTTTATCCCTATGAAAGGGCAGATAATTTAGAAACTATTCATGTCCCTGTCATAAAAATTACTCTTTTAAAGTACTCCTCACTCCTAAGATGATGACTGAGAAAATTATCCAGGAATTATTTTTGTATGTGTCAATCACTCATTTCAACTCAATGAATCATTAAGTGAAATAGAGTCGCATTTCCCCTGGCCTATCAGGGAGTCGGAGTTATTTTTCAGCCTGACTTACCTGGTTTTGTTTGCAATTTTTCTGCAGAGCAAAATGTTCCAAAAATACGTAGTACCAGAAGGAGGAGCTCTTCCATCAAAACTAAAAAGTACCAAACACGCACAGAAAGCTCCTTCTGGAACCCGTGAAAATAAAAACTTAGCTCAGACCAAGTTTCATAAATGATGGCATCTAGATCAGTACTCAGTACTTTTATTTTTTCCAATATTAATTTATTTTACTCCTGTAACTGGCCCTAAAATACAAGTGCTTTAAGAACTAAGGCCTCATCATCTGCTCACGCAATGAACACATGCTGAGTGGCCACACAGTGCACAGAGACTGGACACACAGATGAAGACCTTGGTTCCTAAGTGCAGAGCCACTAACATGATAACTCTGACTCATCTATAAGGCCAGATGGAAAGCACTGCCCAAGTAGCTTGTTCCTGGTAGGAACCAGTGCAGGAAACACAAAGGAGAATGAAAAATGCTGGATTGTTCTGGGGAATCCTAAATCCATGCGTTTCTATAAAGAACAGCAAATCTGAAATGCAGCTATTTCTAGCAAGTACCTTAATTCATGAACCAGGTGTGCAGTAATTCTTGATCCAGATCCTCCCAGTGGGTGACCCGAAGCAATGGCTCCTCCATTCACATTGGTTTTACTTGGATCAAGATCCAAACTCTTCTCAACAGCCAAGTACTGGGGAGCAAAAGCTTCATTCACCTTAAAACAAAAATTAAAGCACTAATAAGGTCCAGTCCTATCAATAGCAGACTCTGCTGTTTCTTCCTATTTAAATTACCTCACAAAGTTATTTTATCTTCAATTATTCCGTATAAAGCTATCAGGTTTGAAATTGGTATATTTACTAAATAATACTTTTAGTCAAATGCATCCCTTAGAGGAAATTCTCAGTAATCACATACTAGATGCAGTAGGATACTGTAGAAAGCTCACAGGTTTTAGAACTAGATGGATGGTTCAAATATTGGCTATATCATTTGTTAGTGTGTGACCTTGTATATATTCTTTAAATTCATGTTTCTGCATGTGAAAATGTGACTGTGGTATCATGCTAAGAGTCACTGTCAAGGTTAAAGTGTCCAGTGTATTACCTGAAACATGGCAAGTACTCAGTAAGTGGCTGCTATTATTATTATTATTATTATCATTATTATGCAGTACCCAGAGCTATCCTTCCAAGAAGCTGACACACAACCAAGAATAAACCTTCAAAGGCACATACATACATAAAGGGAATGGTTAGTTACTATGTTGAAATGTGGCATAACTGAAAAGCATCATATTATTATACTTACCCAAACTGGCAATTACCTTACTTCAGGTTTATAGTACTGTATTATCTTAACTCAGGAATTTTATAGATAAGGAAATTCACTCTAAGGTAACTTTTGCAGAGTTGGGATAAAATTCAGTCTTGTGCTCTTTCCTACTATACCTTGTGGTCTCTCAAAATGGTACCTCATTTGTGCTTAGATCCACCATTATCTTTCTATTCTATACTTTGAGGCTCTGAACTGTGATCTACTAAAAGTGGAAGAGATTTAAGGATAAACCATTTGTCTGAAATCATGGTTTCCTGGGTGAGAGACTGCCATAGAGAGGAAATCACACCTGTGCCTACCTCTTCTCTATCAAGTTAAATAGACAAATTTCCTTTGTTCTGTTAGTTATTTCCCAATGCCAAGCAGCACATGCTTAATCACCTAAAATTTTCAAATACTCAAAGTGTGGAACATAAACAGTCATCTTGAAGTGTTGTTTCCACCTCTTCTTTTAATTATGCTAAATGCTTAAGACATTTTAGTTGTAATGCTAACATTTAGAAAAAAATCACTCTATCAATAAATTTAAGTTCCAGTGTCAAAAATTATGATAGGTGCATCCCAAATCAAGCTACAACTATGGTATAAAAGCCACAGATACATTTAAGGGAGAGGGCTCTATTTGGGGAGAAGGGCAAGAAACTTGTAGATTTGGCACTAGATACTGCTTTTCTATTATGTCAATTATTTTACATATATTTTTTCACTTTAATATATAAAATTAAAGCTACTTTTCTTCCACCTTATATAATATTCAACAGGCATGTTAATAGTCTAAAATATAACCAATTTTTATCAAGTACTAAGAAATTTCCAGGAATTTATACTTTAGTAGGGGAAATCAGGCAGTTTGAAAATTCAAATATAAGTAAAGGATTTTAACTAGGTAGGGAAAAGCACCAACACAAAGCATCTCATGAAGCTAATCTTCACTTAGATATACATCATTTGGAAAGGCTAACTACAATGAAATGCAAAGAGTGATAAGAGACCAAATTAAAGCCATTTATGCTATAAAAGTATGTGGTTTATTCATGTTGTAAAAAAATGAACACTTACCTCTACCAAATCCATGTCCTTAAGACTCAGTCCTGCTTTCTTCAGTGCCCCATTGATAGCAGGGACGGGACCTATAAAAGAATAAAAATATTCTATAAAAATATAGAAATAAATGTCATTTTATATTTATGTATCAAGCTTCTCCTCCTTTCCAACTAAGGAAGAAATAATGTGGCAGTTATTAGTAGCCACAAATCTTGCTACCTTGACAGCTCCTATTAAATGAGGTGACAATAAAGAGGCAGGAAAAGGGGCCAGGCATGGTGGCTCATGCCTGTAATCTCAGCACTTTGGGAGGCTGCTGTGGGAAGATCACTTGAGGCCAGGAGTTCAAGACCAGCCTGGGCAAACAACAAGACCCTGTCTTTAAAAAAGAAAATAAAAATAAAATGTAACCAAGGTGAAAAGCTATTTATACATTCAAATTGCAGATGGCAGAATTACATGAAAAGTTCTACCATAAATGGCTTTAAGATTTCAAACAGCCAAAGTAGTTATATATGGGATTTTACAGTCAGTTATATTATTAGATTATAATTGATATCAAAGAGCAAGGCAGACTGAGTGGTTTCCTGGGATCCAAGTCATATGCATTCATAGTACAGAAGTTATTGTGGCTACACTGAATTTTCAGGTCCATTTGGATAAAAGTCAAGAAATAGCAGCAGTATCTTCACATGGGCACAGAGAGATGGGAAACTATGAGGCACTTCAGGGAAGGTTTTATGAAGTAAGGTGGTGATGTTTATAACTCCAAGGGTAGGCAGAAAATTTAAAACATAATTTCTAACTTAAGAAATGCAACTCCACCTTAACAAGACTTCTGAAATAAACTTTAGCTCCCAGGTTTCTGATGATCTACTAATGAGAGTTTAGTATTGCTAAGAATTTAAGTAAATCAGTATTTTTTCCCAAAATGTAAAAAATTTGGCTAGAGATGATGATCTACTTCTCTTCTTGTTCTTGAAGAATGAAACTGCCAAAAATGTCTACAAAGAATATCTGGTATGTTCTGCTGAATGCAAGTAGTCAAATATTCTGCATCAAGTTTCACAAGTATTTTACCTTATAAAATGAAAAATCAATCTTTACAAGAAAGGCATAATGAAATCTAATATTCATTTATTTTGTCACACAGAATGCTCTTTGAACATCAAACCATGTGCTTATTGATTAGGACTATTCAGTTACTGCATTTCAATTTAAAGTGCCAGTTCCATGTGGCTACCGATTTACTACAGGATCCAATTCCAGATTCTCTTTGTCTAAAGCATGAAAATGTGAAAATGAGATGGGTAGTCAATAGTAAATCATCAGTCATCCAGCCTGGTCAGGGGATGAGGTAGCCAACAGTGGTGACAGACACATAAAAGGAAGGGTGGACAATGTTCGGACCGTTATACATACTTCCTAATTATTAGCAGAAACAACACAGCAAGCATGACACAGTATGTTCACTTTAAATCAGAATCAACTGTAACAATATGCTAGACCATAACTTGATTTTTAAAGGACTCTTCCCAGACCACTCTGTTATTTACTGGGATGAGGAAGGTTTAGTATTCTTATTAGGAAAAGGAGACCTTATTTCTAGTCTGGTTCCTGCACTAATAGCTGTGTGACTTTGTGCATCTCTCTGGGCATTAAGCTACTTATCAGTAGTACTCTGAATTGGTTTTCAATCTTTTTCTCTTTTAGCAACAGAATTCCTTCTGCATATGAAGCCAAATAATAGATAATGCCAGAACTGTTCCAGCTGAAGAGGCTCAAAATTCCACCCACCAACCTCCACCATTGCCACCCCTGAGGAGTTCCAGGGAGTGCTGTCTTTATATAGCTGTGTACTTCCTCAGAACCATTATTGTTCTCTTCAAGTCATGGCTTCCCCCTTTTTCTTGGTCTGCAGCTATTCTGCAGGGCTAAGGATTGCTATCCATTAGGTAATCATAGAACTGAGGAACCAATATTCTTATAAGTTAGATATAGTTAGCTATAATTCCCATTAGGTACTCAATAACTTATTGATCTGGGATGCTTCAAGTAGTTACCTTGTTTAATCCCATCACTATACATAAGTGACAGCCAGGCTTCTAGGTGAAGGGGGCGTCTGATACTGTGGGACACTTGGAACATTCAGCTCTGTTCCAGCCCTCAGGAAAAATGACAACCCTAACACAGTGGCATTCACTGTACTTCAGGACAAATATTCAAGCCCAGGAACAGAAGGAAGGAAAACGCTTTCTTTGCTCACTGACTATGCTAATCTATCAGAACCTATTAAATAAGGTTAAACTGAAAAAGAAGTATAAAATAACTAACCTATGTCACACAAATTTGTTTGATCATCAACAGCATCTAACTATATGAGAAAAAACAAACAAACAAACAAAAATAATCTGCTCTTGGGCCAGGGGTGGTGGCTCCCGCCTATAAGCCCAGCCACTTTGGGAGGCTGAAGTGGGTGGATCACCTGATGTCAGGAGTTTGCGACCAGCCTGGCCAACATGGAGAAACCCCATTTCTACTAAAAATACAAAAATTAGCCAGGGATGGTGGCAGGCACCTATAATCCCAGCTACTGGGGAGGCTGAGGCAGGAGAATCACTTGAACCCGGGAGATGGAGGTTGCAGGGAGCCGAGATTGCGCCACTGCACTCCAGCCTGGGTGACAGAGCAAGACTCTGTCTTGGGGGAAAAAAAAACAAAACTTCTGCTCTTGGGCTCCACTCTGGACCTACTGACACAAAATCTAAGGGTGTGGGGTTATGAGTGGACTTTGACAATCATCTGGGGTTGGGAACCACTGCTGTAGATATCAAAATAATAAATGCCATCATATCTTGCAGTTCTTGTTGACATAAATTTGAGCCACATAGTGAAAGATGACAAGATAGGAACATGCAAACTTGCTTTCTTAGGAATTCTGTACAGAGATATGTCTTCTCTGAGGGATATGGCAGCAAATATGGTTGAGTTTTAATCCCAAATCAGCATAGGTGGTTATTGTGCGAGTAGGACCTGTAGGCTTACACTGAAGGATCTCTGAGATGGCAGGTCAGTAACAGGCTATCCTCCTCCTCTCTTGGAATCCACCTCAGAAAACAATTTAGTTACTCAAAAAAGGGCTGAGCTGATAGAAAAACACTTGGCCCTATAAACAATCTGAAATCTACACCCTAGGGCAGGCTTTACCTTAGAGTGGCAGGTTATAGGTGGGATAGCTCAAAGCTACTGAGCACCAAATTTTATTTTTCCAAGTGAGGGACCTAATTTGTTCCCTGTTTCCCCAGAGAATAATGACAGGAACTATTAAAATTCAGCATCATGCATGGTTCCTAGTGTATCCAGCAAAAAGCTCTTTGTTCTACTTCTAAATCAAGTATTTTAAGCCAAGACTATACAGGTTTATAGAGTTCCAAATTTTCTCCAGCTAGTACTTTATGAATCTAAATAATTATTTATAATTATTTTGCTAATACCTGAGCAAGAGGAATATTACTTTGACTTCCCGAGACTATGCATTTAACTCACAGTGAAGAGAGCATTTGAATTCAGAGAGACTTGGATTCATACCCTGGCTGTCACTGATTTGGAACCTTACAAGACAACCTCCCTAAGCCTCAATTTTCTCATTCACCAAGATGTCTCCCTTACTGGAGATATGGGAAGACTGAATGAGGTACTTGGATTGTGTGTAAAACAACCGGCAAGATGCTACAGTACCACCTTCTCCATACAGCCTTCTCCATTTCACCCCAGGATTTCTCCTATCTCATAATTTCTTTTGTCAGGATCATGTAATTCTGTTATTTTCTGTGTTTTGATTTCTAAAATCTCAAAGGAACAATAAGATATGATTACTTTGTGTTGATTTTTTAAATCTCAAATGGACACTAAGATATGATTACTGCCTACTTGGAGTCTACACGGTCTTGGTTTTTCTATTGTGCCTAGGACAGTTCTTCATAAAGATTTTTTGTTTAAACTGATTACCAATCTTCTCTTCTCCACAGATGATCTTGGTCTGGCTACCTTTTCAGAAGATTTATCTCCAGAAATATTATAGAACCAATATGTTCTACTACAAACTTACCAATACCCATGATAGAGGGATCACATCCAGCTACGAAGTAGCCCACAATTCTTGCCAGTGGTATGAAGTTATGTTTCTTAACAGCATCTTCACTAGCTATGATAACAGCTCCAGCACCATCAGCTATCCCCTTGAAAATAAAAATACTAGATTATCTAAAAGCTAAAATAATCCAGTTAATCCAGGTTTGAACAGAGTAGTATTACTATTGGAGTAGTATTAGGAATATGGCAGTATATAGGAAGCCATTGCACAATGTGGGATACAATTAGAACTCCTTCATCTGTAGATGAAGGAGATATTTAAAGACACAGAATACACTAAAGGAAAAGGAAAAGGGTGTCAAGGAAAAACTTTTATCTAGATGTGAGTAGATGTAAGAAGTCGTCTGATGAACTGTATGCATGAGAAAAAAAAGTTTGGAAGCCAAATAATAAACCACATAGATTTCTTTCTAACATTCTGAAAACTAAGAAATCAGAAGAGTATTATATAAATATGAAAAGATTTTGTGTGGGACTGTGAAAAACCAAATTACTTGAATATGAACACTATTAGTTTAAACTAAACAACTAAAGACTGGCATAAAAAGTATTTACAAGATACTTCATGGTTATTTTGTGTTGACCACATCAGGAAGAATTCAAGCTAATCTGTGGGGATACCAACCGATGCATTCCCTGCAGTGACAGTTCCATCCTTCTTGAAGACTGGAGGAAGTTTCTGTAACTGCTCCAGGGTTGTTTGGGGCCGAGCATGCTCATCTACCTCCATTGTCTGTTTTCCTTTCTTTGTCTTTACTTCAATTGGTGCCATTTCATTATTAAAGCAGCCAGAATCATTAGCTAAAATAGTAGAAAGACTATCATAAGAATTAAAAAAATAAACATTCTTCAATTTAATTTCTGATCTACCCTTTCCTCACAGTCTGCTTTAATTTGAGTCTTTATTATTTACTTACACAACTTACCTTCCCTATTGGAGGATTTACAATACCGTCATGTGTTTATGTAGATGCATGTTGCATCTTTTAAAAATTGTATTTTTTTAACCACAATTTTTTTGATGAGGCACTGCTAAAACTGTTAGCAGCATTTGTCTGTTAGCTATAGATGTGATGTAATGGCACCAAATGGATTTAATGCCCCTTTTAAACTTCTTTTGGTGAGACGCTTAATTAAAAAGTCACCAAGTTGTCTATGCCACAAAGTAATCTAACTGAAACTTAATAGTGATAGGCAACCTGAAGAAATTATGAGAGCGATCACTAACATAATTATAAGTAAAACATCTTACCTATTTTGACCTCCACTGACAAGAATGTACTGTAGTAATCTACAGCTTCAGAAATAGGGTAATACCCACCTTAATTTTGCTATCACTTTGTAATTGGCAAAATACTCTCCTTATATGCCCTTATTTGGTTTTAAAACAACCTTATTAGATAAACAGGGAAGGCAAATATTGTTATCTCTATTTTACAGAGGTTCCGTGAATAAATGATTTGATTGAGCTTGATAACTTGTGCATGGTAGAGCTAGAAATAGAACTGATAATTCTTGACTTCTAGACCAATCCTTTTCCACAATGAACATATAACTAAAAAGCACAGATGAGCTGGATGGCATCAGCTCTATTCCACTTTTCCTTCTCAAATGCTAAGATGGACTTTATTCACATTGCTTCAAGCATTTAATATTCCTAAATAAGAGTTTCCACTTGCTTTAACGTTTAATTTTTAAAATATCGCATTTTTTCAACTTGCTGCACTGATAAAACAACTGCTATCATGTTGCCTGTTTTTGGACTGGCTCTAGCAACCTGCTGTGCTACACCAGGGCACTCTAGAGTCTTGGACTAGTTCTAAGTCTGAGTCAGGTGCAATGATTCTTAATTAGGAGTAGGAGAAGGAAAGCATAAAAGACCCAGTGGGTCTTTCCAAACACACTACCGCTTCTTGTGATTATGATACAGCTTGTGGGAGAGGACATCCTCTCTATTCCAGTTGTCATAGTGAGTTATCACCTCTGACAGAGTGTATCATTCCTCAGCATGTTCTACTGACAACGGGGCCAGTTCAGCACAAAATTCAAGGGTCCATCTAGGGCCAAGTAGCAATACAACTTTTTAAGTAGCGTTAACTTTTTCAAAAAAGAAATTTCTAGTTAATTTTGCAATAATTAATAAAGTAGCTGATCACCTAAAAACAAAGGAATAATGAAAAGATGACGTAAAAATTCTTAAAGGTGTGATTTGTAAATATATAACCATAATAGAAATAAAAATATTTCCTATATTCTATAAATATTGATATTTTCCAGTTTCACTCACCAGCTTTCCATCTCTGCTGCGACTGCAGAGCATATTTGTCACATTCTTCTCTGCTTATTTTGTATTTCACAGCAAGATTCTCTGCAGTAATTGCCATGGGGAGTTTTATATGCTGATCTGTTAATACCACCCACAAATAATCTTCCAGCTAAAGACATTAATAAAGTGATTTGTTAAGGCATTAGTTTTAAAGAGTAATGTGTTATAATTTCTTTATACAATCGACACTTCCAATAAACAAAATTAAGACTTTCTCATAAACATTTGCTATTACTATTCATATTCAGTTCTGGGATTTTTTTTTTTTTTAAATGCAATGTTTTTGAAAACATTCAATGTCACACAATAAAATGCACACATTCTCTGCCCCTCTCTAAATGTGGGGGTCTAAGGACAGGCAACAGGACTTGATGTGTATGATGAGATCACAGAAATTATCTTACCTTCAAAAATTAAAGCCTCAAGGTCATATTTTGTAGAAAACCTGACAAGGAGTCTTCATGCAATGTTTTCTTGTAACCACCTGTGTAAACCAGCTCTGACTCTTTAATAAAGAGTATATCTGTGTTTCTTTTTCATCCTGTGCCTCAGTGACAGGAATAGTTCATTCTAACAGTTACTATGCAGCTGAAAAGAACTTGGGACAGGCTCCCAGAGTTACAGAAAGGTTGTTAATTATTATTTAAGTCTTTGGGAAGTGTGCCCCATTTTGCTGCCTCATCGACATTTGACTCACTGACCTGTCTTTGTAAAGGATTTCTCAAATGTGTTTGGTGGCTAAAATACTCATAGATTCTCTTTTCCTTTCAATTTCCAAAAAGGCCAGGTGAGAAACTGAGTGAACAGTGTAAGTCAAACATTGCTATTGAAAATGCTAAAAAATATAAAATGTCAGTAACCCTTTCACATGGGAATGAGAAGAAAACTTTATTTCATTCTCAAGTTGTAGCTCTCAAAGATAAAATAATCAGTATTTGTTTGATTTGGGACAATATAATCTGTATTCAAAGATAAAGTTTTCTGTGAAGAAGAAGAAATCTATTCTGAGATTGAGAAACAAAACTTCCATAAGTCATGTGGAAGATTTAATTATTCAGATGACTAATTGTTTAAAGAGATTACTTCACTTTTTTGCCTATCTTTTTAATCCACTTCTTCCCTTCTTCCATCTCTCCCATGCCTATGGCCCCTTACACAGGATAATTACGCTACTAAAGGTCTGCTGAGATAGAATCTAATTTCATATGGGTTAAAATGTCAAAACTAACAACCGAAATAGAGTTTTGAAGTAGTTTACAAGCTGGGCGTGGTGGCTGATGCCTGTAATCCAAGCACTTTGGAGGCCAAGGCGGGTGGATCACCTGAGGTTGGGAGTTCAAGACCAGCCTGACCAACATGGTGAAACCCCGTCTTTTAAAAAAAAAAAAAAAAAAATAGTTTACAAACTTCAGATCAATCAAATCTTGCCAATCCTCATCAACAAAACTGGTTTCAAAATTAGTTTTCTTTCCCATAAAAGGTATGTTATTAAAATTACTTATATAATGCTAATAAGAGCTAATTATTTAAAGTTTTTATGGTTCCAACCTTGGTATCTGATCCAAGCTTGGTTCCAAAACGCACACTTCTGACACAGTAGGGAGCTTGGCTCATGCTTTCAGTTCCTCCACATAAAACAACTTCAGCTTCTTTCACACAAATTTCCTATTTAAAAACAAACAATAAAAACTCCTTTTACCATACCCAAACAATGTATTAAGAAACACACTGATTTTACAAATTAATGGTAATTCTAACAAATATTTTGCCCTAGCTTACAGTGTTTCAAAAGGAAATGCTAAAGGTTTCAATCATGTTTGCCTGGGTAACAGACCCCACCTACATTTGGCTAAGAATATTAATTCTTAACACAATATAAATCTTGAAAATCAGCAAAGATATTAATGTCTCACATAAATGTACAACAGATAATAAAGGATAAACCCTTTAAAAAGGCAAAAGAAGCACTTTGGGAGGCCAAGGTGGGCGGATTACAAGGTCAAGAAATCGAGACCATCCTGGCCAACATGGTGAAACCCCATCTCTACTAAAAAATACAAAAATTGGCTGGGCGTGGTGGTGCACGCCCTGTAGTCCCAGCTACTCGGGAGGCTGAGGCAGAATTGCTTGAACTCCTGAGGCAGAGGTTGCAGTGAGGTGAGATTGCGCCACTGCACTCCAGCCTGGTGCCTGGTGACAGAGCCAGACTGTCTCAAAAAAAAAAAAAAAAAAAAAAAAAAAGGCAAGAGAAAAATTTATCCCATTAATAGATATTTAATAGATACATATCCCAGATATTTACAAGAACTAGTTCAATCTAGATGGCTCATAAAAAGGAAGTCATTTCAGTCTTCTAGCACTTTCCACTGTTTGTCTTTCTCAGAAAAGCAGCAAAAAATGAGCTTCTAAGAACCTGATAGTTCTTAAAATTATTACTAGGAAAACTGAGGTCACTATTTAAGATAATATTGTTATAGAAAAAAATTAATGTAAAAACAGTTTATTCATTAAAATACACCTCTGGCTCTTATTTTGTTTATAATAAAATGAAGACTTTTACAAATAAAATTGGATTTCACTGTACTCTCTTCCCCTGTGCTCAAAGAAACAAATGTATTTAACCAACTGTCCTTTAAAAAGGTCAATCTAAGTTTGTACTTCTACTAACAGCATAATTCACTTCCTTTGCAATAAAACACATTTCCTTATCTCCTAAATTCTTGAGCTCTCCTGCTTGCCTCAGTCTTTATTCAGTGCCTCACAGGTAACTCTCACAGACCTGGGTTCAAATTCTATGACTCAGTAAACTCAATGGCTTTAATAATCAGTTTTCTTGCCTGTAAAATGGGAATAATAACAAGTTCTTGGTTCACAGGATGGCTGTAAGATTAAATGAGATACTGAATGTAAATCTAGCAGGGTGCCTAGATTTACAAAGAAGTTCTCAAAAAGAATGATGAACATACTAACTTTAAAAAACATTGTAGGAGGGCCAGGCGCAGCGGCTCTCACCTGTAATCCCAGCACTTTGGGAAGCCAAGGTGGGCGGACCACTTGCGGTCAGGAGTTCAAGACAATCCTGACCAACATGGAGAAACCCATCTCTACTAATAATATGAAATTAGCAGGGCATGGTGGCACATGCCTGTAATCTCAACTACTCAGAAGGCTGAGGCAGGAGAATCGCTTGAATCTAGGAGGTAGAGGTTGCAGTGAGCTGAGACCACACCAGTGCACTCCAGCCTGGGCAACAAGAGTAAAACTCCGCCTCAAAAAATAAATATTAGTAAAGTATGTGTAATACTTACCATTTTAACCATTTTTAAGTATACAGTTCAGTGGCATTAAGTGCATTCATACTGTGATGCAACCATCCATCTCAGAACCATCCATCTCCAGAACACTTTTCATCTTGCCAAACAAACTCTATATCCATTAAACACTAACTTTCCCTTACCAGACCCTGGAAACACCATTCTACTTTCTGTCTCTATGAATTTGACTACTCTGGGTATCTCAAAGAAGTAGAAACATAAAGTATTTGTCCTTTTGTGACAGGCTTATTCCACTTTCAGGTTCATTATTAGGTTTTTTTTTTTTTTTTTTTTTCCCGGAGACAGGGTCTCACTCTGTTGCCCATGGCTGGAATGTACCATGGCTGGAATGTAATGGTATGATTTTGGTTCACTTGACCTCCAGAGCTCAAGCAATCCTCCCAGCTCAGCCTCCCAAGTAGCTGGGACTACAGATATGTACCACCACCCAGCTAATCAAAAAACATTTTTTTGTAGAGATGAGGTCTCACTATATTCTCAGGCTAGTCTCAAATTCCTGGGCTCAAGTGATCCTCCTTCTTAGCTTTTAAGAAACTATTTTCTTCCCGTGAATATTTTTTCTAAGAAAAATCAAATGTTGACTTCTAATCAGCATTATAAGATAAGCTACAGTGCTAGGACATTTCTTCTAATACTTACTAACAATTTTCAGAGAATTAAAAATATTGTCCATACCTGACATCCATTCACAATGGACTGAAACCCAGAACCACAAAGCCTATTAATTGTGAGAGCTGGGATCTCCTTTGGGATTCCCACACGTAAACCAACATGCCTTGCCAAATACGGAGCATCTGAAGAACTCTGAACAGAGAAGGAAAAGAAAAATAATTTCCTCTATAAATCTAGGAATTAAAAATAAGCATAAAATAACGTGGAAATGTTGGCAATCTATCAAAAATGATAAACTATGTGGCTCTAAGCTAGGACAAAATGCATCTAAGTACAGCATATACCTAATAAGTGTTTATGATCTGAATAAAAACTGTAATTTAGTCAATTGGGTTTTTTCCTATTTTTTTTATTGTGGTAAAATACACATAAAATTTACCATTGTAACCATTTTTAAGTGTATATAGTTCAATGGTATTACTGAAACACATTCATAATGTTGTGTAACCACAGTCAACTATTTTTCAAATATATTAAAGATGATTGCTTCTTAGAGAAATCCCATTAAGTCCTTAATATAAGACAGAAATTAATAACAGAGTTGTTTAAAAATGGAATAGGCTATCCTACAGTAGTGTGCTCCTTAATAGAGGAAGTATCTGGGGCTGTGGTTCTCAACCTTGGTTGCAGGCTGGAATAACCTAGGAGGCTTTATTAACATATTCATGTTCAAGTTCCTAAGCAAATCAATTAAACTAGAAAGGTGAAACTAGTGGGGCCTGGGCATCAGTAGTTTTAAAAAGCATCCTAAGTAATTCTAATGTAAAACAGGCTGAGGACTGTATACTGAGGGAGAAGACAGATGAATGACTGGTCAGGAGAGTAAGAGGTAGGACTAGACCACCACTCATCAAACTTTAAATGCATACCAGGGCATCTTGTTATAATAAAATATAGGTTCTGAATCAACAGGTCTAGGTCTGCCTGAGATTCTGCATTTCTAACCATTTCGCAGGTGAAGCTGATGTTGCTAGTCCAAGGATCACACTTTGAGTTAAAAAAATGACTTAAAAAAATCCCCCAGTAACAACTAAAAACATTAACAGCCTGTATTGTAGCAAGAGCAAAAGCATAGTTGACAAAATATAAAAAATTGGTCCATCAAGGTACAGGATTTTAGGATGTTCATTGTGCTATTCTTTTAACTTCTGTTTAGGTTTCAAGTTTTTCCAAATAAAATTCAACAAATTCAGCATATTTATAAGTTAAGGGTTTTGAATACAGATGGAATTGGGAGGAACTCAGTGTAACGTCAATTAATCCACTAATTAAATGTTTCATTTGTTGACTGAGATGAAATTATCTTATTTTACAAATTAATGTCATTAAAAAAATTACTGGCTAATGGATATTCTTTTGCCAAGGTTTGTCAATAATACATCACACCATATCAACAGAATTAAAAAATGTACATGATCATCTCAGTCAACACAGAAAAAGCATTTGACAAAATCCAACACCATTTCATGACAAAAACATTGAACAAACTAGGAACAGATAGCAACTTTCTCAATCTGACAAAGGGAATCTATAAAAAACTCACAGCTATCATCATATGTAAAGGTGAAAGGTTGCATGCTTTCCCCCTATAATCAGGAATAAGACAAAGATATCCGTTTCTTTTAATTCTATTCAACATTGGAGATTCTAGCCAGGGCAATTAGGGAAGAAAAAGAAAAAAAAGTAATCCAGATTGAATTTCATTGTTTCCTAAGAATAAAGTAAAACTCATTTGTTCCAAGTGATATTTAATAATATTAAACTCAATTAGAAAACCAGCTTTGTGGTATTTGTAAAATGTTATTCTGTTCTCTCTTAACCATAAAGGCCTAACTCAAAATATTTATCTGTTAAGCACTTAACATCCTTACAAGAAAACTCTATGTTGGCCTGACAAACTTAATGCAACACTGTCTTTAGGATCACAGACACAAACACAATGAAACTGATACTATTTATAGTGACTTTGTGTTACAAAGTTTGAGAGAATCCATGCTGGGAAAAAACAGAATTGTAGAAGGAAAAAAGCTCCTTTAAAATACATTCTAGAAAACACAAACCCCAAAGGTATCCCATTTCTTTTGTATCTGTTCTAACGCCTTCTTAGGTCAGAGGTAAAAGTTATAAGATTAAAAAAAAGATAATATCAAAAATTCTTTATGAAAATATTGTAGGTTCAACACATGTAACTGCAAGGAAAAAAGTCCCTGACACCTTTAAATATAGATATCATAAATATGTTTGTGTAGATAGATATATAAGATTGTGTGTGTGTATGTGTGTGTGTGTGTGTGTATGTGTCTTATCTCTTTTAATAGATTATTACCTCCTTTTGGTACACCTTGGGTACCACAGCACCTATAATGGCCTCTAACTAGGTATCCAATAAATGTTTGTATACTTTAAAGGAATTCTGAACTTTCAATTACCTGCATATGAATGATTGATTTTGTACATCACACATAGCAAGACAGAAGGTAAAGAAGCATCTTATTTCTTACAACAAACACTGAACAAGCTCCTACAATGTGTAAGAAAATTTGGGGAGGTGTGCTGTATTGCTTGTGTTTACTACGGTGCCATATAGAGAAAATCAAGTAACTTCACGTAAGCCAAGGAAGTCAATCTGCTATTTAGGAAGCACTGAAATGTATCCCATGTCAGACGGACATACAGTTTCCAGAACATATGATGCTTTGAATTATTTATGCCATTGATTCTGGAGTCAGAGAATTACTCAAATTATAAATTTGAGTGATTTGTAACTAAAGTATGTAACTATTATTAACTTATAACAGAGTTGTTTAATGATATGTTAAAGGAATTACTTTTAGAATCTGATAAAAGAAGCAGTAGGAGTGAACACCTTCCTTTGCCCTACTAACCTGCAAGACATTGCCTATAATCACACTGTCAACAGTTTCAGGTGAGACTTTGCCAGCAGACAAGGCAGCCTTGGCAGCAAATTCAGACAAGTCGGTAGCAGTAAAGTCTTTCAGAAGACCTCCGTAAGCTCCAAAGGGCGTTCGCTTAGCAGCAATGACAAACACACCTATTGCAACAAGGAGAGAGTTATAAATAATCAGAGATTAGTAAATACCTCTAAATGCTTCAGATAATCTCACTGTGAAACCTTACACAATTTTAAGTTAGATCATGGAGATTTCTGTCATGCAGTAATACCTAGAACAAGTCACACCCATGGAAGCAGAGTCTTAAGGATTGCCAGTTTGATCATTACCTACATGCAGGTACCAAGAACTGCACTGCATGCTGTGATGTAAAGCCATTCTGGTTAGACAACTTTCTTGTTCTCTGATACTTCACAATGCTAGAAACATTTGTTGAGAACTAAAATCCTTCTATGTGCTGAAGTATATTGCCTAGTATTAGAATAAAAGAATCTCCAAAGGTGCCTCAGCGTTGTCTGAGGTCAACCATTCACCCTATACGAACTACCTCTAAAAATTCCTGACAAAATATTATCTCTAAACCTCTGCCAGAAAACTTTCAGTAAGGCAGCATATGCTACTGCATAAGCATTGTGTCCATCAATGGACAACATAAACTAATGATATTGTGCTAACCTGTGTTAGCCAGACAGACTCCATTTTGCTGACAGCCAGATAGACTCCATCTTGATCTATGCCTCACCCCTCCTGCCACTCCTCCCTTAAGTGCATACCTGGGTCTTGCTACTGTGCTGGGTCATGCTGTACTTAGAACTACAGAAACATATAACCTTTGTAACCATAGCCTGCTTGGCAAGCCCACCTGCCATTGTGAATGCCCACCCTTGATTAATTATATGACAAGTACCAAATACCCCCCTTGGTAACCAGCAATCATGGGAACCACTTGTGTATACCCTCCTTGAAAATCAACAATCATGAGAACCTCCTGCCTCCTAGTTACCAGCCTCCTTATCTAACTTGCTTGTTCTGCGTCTGTAAACTCTGCTCCAGCTAGGTTCCCCCTCCCCTAACTTAAGCAAGGTATAAAAAGGAATCCAGCCCCTCCCTTGGGGCCGAGAGAACTTTGAGCATTAGCTGTTTCTCGGTCACCAGCTAATTAATAAATGACTCATGATTTAAACTCAGAGCATGGCACTGTTCCATCTAACTTGCCTGGGTATAACAATATTTCTTTATTCTGTACTGACTCAGCTTACCAAGTCTTTAATTCACCAATTCTAGTTCTATCCAAAAGCACCAAGACAGATGGAGATGTAGTTTCTAGAATATATGCTGCTTTGAATTTGAATTACATACACCACCGTTTCTAGAGTCACAGGATTTCTAGAGTCACATCCTCAAGTTACAGATTTCAAATAAGCTGAACTATTTTCTTTTACTCTTAGAAATGGGCAAAACAGGTTACCTTCTACAGGTGTATCCCCTACCTCCAGTATCTCAAGTCAGCTAACCTTTAAGTCCCCAGACCCAATGACACCCATCTCAGGTAAATAAAAGGGATTTCTTCAACAGTTCTTAATTTGACATTAATTCTGATTGCTTTCCTCTAAAGACATTGTAATTTGCCAACATCCTATTCAAATGTGTCCCTTAGAATATAAAGAAATAGCATGCATTTTATCTAAGCACAAAGAATACAGAGGAATTATCTATACATCTATTAATGCAAACTAAGATCATAAATTTACATCATCACTACTAGTTAAATCAGTGTCCTTGTAGAAATAAATAAAAATCACCCCTTCCCAATCACCTACTACCATCTGCCAAAAAAAAAAACTTGTGACTGTACAAATCTATAATGATTATGATGTGAGTGGTACCCACTCATCATTATTACAGCTGTACAGTGCAAAACAGGCTTATCATTAAGCAGCATCAGTTACAGCCATTTCATCATACTGACATTCATTAGGGCTACTGAATACTAGATATTTTATCACTTTCCATACAAAAGCTAATCTTCCCAACAACTCTGCAAGTTAAACATTACAGCTAACATAGAAGGGACACTTACTATGCAATAGACTTTTTTTGCATATACTAACTTAATTCTCTCTAAAACAATCTAAGTTCACATTTCCACATCTTGTCAAGAAATTATGGGACTTTCGGCAATGGATATATGCTAAGATACTGACCTACAAATGAGACTATTCAAGCATTATACCACTATTGGTATCTAAGAATAATCTTACAGTTTATGTCTATGAGCTCTTTCATCAAACCAAACCTAACCTAAAATATTTCTATTTCAACCTCTTTTTTAATTCCTACTTTGAGAAATTTATAGTCTAAAGGAATATTAGGAGCAACATACATAACTGTAATTTACAACAGATCCACTCAATTCTTTACAGATAAAATATTCAGATAGTTACAAAAGGCCATAAATACTAGTCTGGTGCATTACAAATGTTTTGTTCTGGTAAATGGGTTATTTCGTACCATGATGCCTTCCTGAATCTTTTCAAGTTTCCTCTAATCCTCCTTCCTTAACAGTCTCTGCCTTTTTTTATATCAGTGTTTTCTTTTTTTGAGACAAAGTCTTGCTCTGTGCCCAGGCTAGAGTGCAGTGGTATGATCACAGCTCACTGCAGCCTCGACCTCTGCACCCTCGACCTCCCCAACTCAAGTGATCCCCCTGCCTCAGCCTACCAGGTAGGTAGGACTACAGGTGTGTGCCACCACACCTGGCTAATGTTTACTTTTTTTTTTTTTTTTTTGTAGAGATGGGGTCTTGCTGCATTTCCCAGGCTAGTCTTGAACTCCTGGACTCAAGCAATCCTCTCAACTTGGCCTCTCAAACTGCTAGGATTATAGGCATGGGCTACTGCACCTAGCCTATTAATGCTTGTTTTATTTCATTCTTCTTTCCCCTTTCCATACCTTCTTCCTAATGTCATTAGATCTGCTTCTGGTCATGGCCTACTATGCTCCTATCTGACCAATCCTCCAACAGATAACAATGGAAAACTCCAGACAATCTATAAGAACTACTACTACCTGAAGGTCTTGGAAATGAACAAAACTAGACAGCTAAGGAGAGGAGTTGATACTTGCAGGAAGGGAACTCAACAGGGTAAGTGCCCAATTTATTTGTGGCAACTAACCTGAAGGCTAACAATCCATGGTGCATGGAATGGCTAGAACTCAGAAACGCATAGTCTTATTGGCTTGAAGAATCAGAGAATAAAGTTCATGGTAAGCACAGCCACTGCAAAGTGAGCAAGAATCTGGGAAAGAGGAGCACCACAGAGGGACAGTCCAAATTTCACATATAAACTCTGCCCAGATATTTGGCTGACTCTTTAACCATTCATGTGTAGGTCAGACTTCAAGCACCTAAGCCAAGCCTAAAATAACTGAACTTAGATTTAAGCTGCTGCCCACTACAATGGGAAACACAGTTTATCATGGGGGTGCAGGGGAGTTAACTGCCTACAAAAAATAAATAGCCAAACAATCAATAAGTCAATTACGACTGCAGGATTATAACAGAATCCAGACTCAACAATATTTCATATGCAATGTCCATAATACAATTTAAAATTAATCCACGTATGAGTAAACAAAAAAATATGACTCATTTTCAAGAAAAAAGACAACAGAGACCAATCCCAAGAAGACCCAGATGCTGAAATTAGCAGACAAGGATTTTAAAACCGCTATCTATTATAACTATGCTCAAGGATGTAGAGGAAAATATGCTCCTAATAAAACAGGACATCTCAGCAAATAAATATATCCTATAAAAATCCAAAATGGAAATTCTAAAACTGAAAAGTACCTGAAATAAAAAAATCCCCTGGATGGGCTTAACAGCAGAATAGAAATGAAAAGAGAAAATTCCAGCACTTTGAAGATAGATAAATAGAAATTATCCAATCTGAAGAACAGGTGAAAAAAAAACGATTGAAAAACAAAGCCATCTTTGGAGAGATCCAAGATGGCTGATCACTAGCAGCTCGGGATTGCAGCTCCCACTGAAAGAGCAGAGAACGAGAGGACGCCACACTTTCAGATCAATTTTTGTTGCTCACACACCAGGAGATTCCCAGCGGAGGAGCCCCACCTGTCGCCAGCGTGACTCTTGAGGCCGGTGAGGCGGTTTTGCCGCTGCCTTGGTGTGGCGGTTCTTGGTGCAGAGTCAGAAAAGCACCATCAATCTTAAAGCCGCTGTTTTGGCCGGAGCAGTGGGTTGCTCAGATTCTAGCGCCGGGAATCAACAAGTTGGACGTCCATTCAGAAACCCAACTATAAAGACGGTAATTATAAAGACCACAGATGGATAAATCTATAACGAAGGGAAGAAAACAGCCTAAAAATGCTGAGAATACCCAAACTCAGAACGCCTCTCCCTCTACAGGGGATCACAGTTCCTCATCAGAAACAGAACAAGGCCTGATGGAGAAAGACTGTGTTCCATTAGCAGAAGCTGGCTTTAAAAAGTGGATGATAAGAAACTTCTGGGAATTAAAAGAACTTGTTCTAACCCAATGCAAAGAAACTAAGAACTTTGAAAAAAGGTTTGACGAAATGTTAACAAGAATACACAATTTAGAGAGGAATATAAGTGAATTAATGGAGCTGAAAAAGACAACACGAGAATTTTGCGAACTATGCACAAGTTTTAACAGCCGAATTGATCAAGTAGAAGAAAAGATATCAGAGGTCGAAGACCAACTTCATGAAATAAAACAAAAAGACAAGATTAGAGAAAAAAGGATAAAAAAGAACGAGCAAAGTCTCCAAGAAATATGGGACTATGTGAAAAGACCTAATCTACGTTTGATAGGTGTACCTGAATGTGACGTAGAGAATCAATCCAAGCTGGAAAATACGCTTCAGGATATTATTCAGGAAAACTTTCCCAACCTAGCAAGGCAGGACAATATTCAACTCCAGGAAATACAGAGAACACCACAAAAATATTCCTCAAGAAGGCCAACCTCAAGGCACATAATCGCCAGATTCACCAGGGTTGAAATGAAAGAGAAAATACTGAGGGCAGCCAGAGAGAAAGGTCAGGTTACCCATAAAGGGAAGCCCATCAGACTCACAGCAGATCTCTCAG